GGAGGTTAGATGATACTAAATTTTCCTTAGCAACGGCTCGAAAAGATCGGTTAATGGGCCCTTAAAGGGATTAAGAAATTTATAATGCTTGCTTGAGGTAGACTTTCTAAAAGTGCGTCTTTGTCGCTCGAAGATTGACCTCTGGCTTTGCTCGAGGGAGACAAAAGAAAAGGTCGACTTGTGGAGAGTCTATAGCTTGGGGGGAAACTAGACGAAACGGCCTTTTGAAAAAACTATACTGTTTTGATTCACGAAAACCATACAAATCGTATGTGTGTGAAATAAATGTCCAACTCACCAGGTTGCTGGCCTTCGCCTTCTGGCACAGCAAGCAGTTCCAACTCCTGCAAAAAAGGGGTAACTTAGTTTATTTCAACAACACAGAAGGGTAAAGTTTCGTCACGTCCAAGCATCTATTTTAAGAATGTACCATCAAATCAGCTCCGTTGTGTGTACTTGTTTCCGTCGATATCGCTGTTGCGCCTGACAACAGAACGGGTGCAAAACCTCCATGTACGGGAATATCAAGGTAAAAGAAGATAGGAAGCAAACGAAGCCACTCAGTTTATCAGCCTAACGTATGTAGCACGCTAGTAGAGTGATAAGTAACTGGGTGAGTGAGTGATACGTCTCTTTTGACGGCAAAACATGGATTAAGACTGTTCGCACACACAAAAAAGTACGTATACAGTCTGTAATACACTGATGACCACGAGGAAATACCAGCGGAATCCCGATTTTGCGAACCCTCAAGGGAAACGAAAATTGGTTCGCAAAATGGGATAGTTCGAGAAATCGGGGGTAAAATTACAGTGTTCGACTAAGGAGAGAGAAACGACTTTTGGTTCGAGTTCTCGGGAGGTTAGAGAAAATGAGCGTTCGAGAAATCGAGGATTCTGCTGTAGAATAGCGAGGGCGTTCAGTTAGTCGTTTCGTTAGTGTTTCTGTTGCTGTTCTCATTGTTTCTGTAAAGCGATCATCACCGGCTAAACGCCCTCATGATTCATTATTGAATATACAACATAATCTATTCAACGTTTTGTCAGCTAACCAACCTTATCAGCAGGGAGCTCTTCCAAGGACTTGGTCCTAATATTATCATCATGTCCTAGCACATGCATCCGGGAGTCGTCTTCTTCTTGGTCTCCCTTTTCCATCTCAGGAGCTCCTTCAGGGTCCTTTGCAGACTCCTCTTCTGTTTTTTCAAGGCTCGTTTCCACAGCAGCTGCGTTTACATCAGGAGGCTGGGCAGCTGGCACAGAAGCATCTTCTTTCGCAGGCTCCTCTTGCACTTCAATAGTAGTTCCTTTTGTGTCGGCCTCTTGTTGTTCGCCCGTTGGTGTGCGGTCTCTTTCGTCAGCCTTTTCAGCCTGTTTGGCATCACCATCTTGCGACTTCATAAGAAATAAGCAGAGTCATTTTACTATTAAGACACAATCAATGACGCGAGTCGTCGGAAGCTACCTTTTTCTCAACAAGGTGTCAGATAGCGAGATGCGATTGCTATCTTTCAGGAGAATGAAATAATAAAGAGAGAAACAACAATGTACTGCTAATGTTCCAGATAGAAAAACTTCGTGATGTATAGATCGAAATACATGTGTACATTCCAAAAAGATCAAAGGTTAGATGAAAAATAATCCTTACCTCCACCACTGTAGTTTTAGAATCCGTAGACCCCACCCTGTCAGTCCCTTTCTTGACGCCGGCAGAAGCGTCCTCAAAAACAAAGTCGTCGCCCATGACGTCCTGAATAAGCAGGCGTGCCGTGCGTATCCAACCCTCACATTCCACAGTCAGTCGCTTGAGGTCTTTGAAGTCCATATCGGCGTGTTCATCGCCTTGATCTCGCCGTTCCTAACGGGGAAAATAATCTTATAGAATTGGATCACGGCTTAGCCAATGCGGAGGACGCGCATCCCTTATTCAGGAGCGATTGGGTTAGTCGTGAACGATTAAGTGAGTAATACACACAAATTGAGTTAGCGAGTGAACGACGTGATTCAATGCAATAAACTCACTTGTCACTGTAAAATGAGATCACGATGAGATGACAAATTTAGTTGCTTAGTTCCAAGCCCCCGAGTGAGGGATAGGGCCGGAAGATTTAGTACAGGGAGCCTAAGGTCTCAAGACACACGACGAAAATCCAATAGATGACACAACATGAACACTTCAAATGTTGAACAGGCTTTTTTGTATAAGCCTACTTTCCAACACAACTTGCGGAGTTTGATTGGGACCTTTAAGTTCGCCTGCCATATCTTTACAAAAAACTCGCGGGCAACTTTTACTTCGGCGATAAAAAGCGCCCCCAAATGAGCCGCATTAGGACTAAATGAAGAGGTTAGTTAACGGGCGTAATTCGCTTACCTGCATCAAATCAATCACCAAATCAGAGCAGCATTTTGTCAAAAGAACGGAAAACTTTCTCAGCTCTGCAAACAGTGTCTGCGCTCTGTTACATATTTCCTCGGGAATAGCTTGCAGGAGGATTTCTCCCCCTCCTAAGGATGCGTCCACTTCCTGATCGTCCGTCTGTTTGTTAATCTCTTCTAGTTCCTTGTCCCCCATGTCCGGCGTCAGACGAAGAAGAACCGTAATCATCCACCGAATCATGGCGCTGTGCAGCTGCGTGACCTGGACATAAACATTATGATTAACTAAGTAACTTCCAGTTGACCCCGACAGCGGAAGTTTACCACGCGGCGCTAGCAGAGTTAAACCCAAACACAAGCAATCAGAATGCTTGCGTAATTGAAATTTGCAATTTCTATTAAAAAAAAAATTTCGATTCCCCTTTCTCAAAAGGTTTCTTAAACATGGTGCAGTGTTGAGCTTTGTAACTGTAGTAGTTCCGGGCTGTTCTTCTTTCTGCGATAGTCTCTTTTGTTCCCATGTGCTGTAGATTAACGCGAATAAAAATATTATCTGTGAACCACAGACAAAATATATTTGTCCTTGTGATCACTTTGTAATTACTTACTCTTTCGACAACCTTGGCGTCCTCGTTGTCAATACTGTTTGTAGTCGCCGACAGCCATTTAACAGTGTTTTTAAACACTTCTTCCACGTTTACCGGGTTCTCTTCCTCGCCGCTCAAGCGAGCACCATCCTTCTGCGTAGAGCCAATCAGAATCAGCGTTTCAGTCAAGTGATCAGCCCACTCTTCGCTAACCTGATCCGATATTCGTATCCAGTCCGAGTCGAGCAGCATTTCGCCGCCATTCAGAACAGTATTTAGTTTGTTTCCCCTAAAGAAAAAAAAAATTTTATAAACTACTGAGCAATTGAAAGGAAAACTAGTATAGAGACTGCCAAATGCTCACATTCAACAAGAAACCAATCACGGGCTATTTTACTTACCATGTCTCTATAGGATTCACCAGATCAATAATTCCTTTTGCCACTCCGTTTTCACCGATAACTCGCACATGATATTGCTGATGTAAGCGATCTACTTCTTGATTTAACTGCAACATGATTTCATGCTGAGGCCATCTTGTTCCGTCGTCTGCTTGGTGACGGCTGAACACCTGAATAACGCCACAAAAGGGACGATTGAAATGACACAGGATCAAAATAGGCAACAGCCTTCAACGAAGTAAAATGTAAGTTACGAATCCAGAACAGTCATTCAAGGGGCCTTACCACCCTTTTCGTAGAAAACTGACAAACCCAGAGGACCGAAAATCCCCAACACTACTTTTAAGCAAGAACATTCCCACATTCAAGCTCCCCTCACCCCAACTTTGAGCACATTTCTTATGCTCCAGGTTCTATGAATCCTTAGTCTAGGAATACTAAAATTATTATGTGACTCAACAGTCGTGTTTTGTGTAAAAAGTCCTTTACTCGGCCCTGACAACTGACGCTGTGGTTGGTTTTCCTCGAAATTCAAACCAGACCTATAATGACGTTGGAATTGTTTCTGCATTGGTATATTGGTGTGTATTTTTGATATTATTTTGTTCTGTCTTCCCTTACTAACTATATCTGAAGGAGAACTAGAATAGGAAGCTGTATATGAGCTGTTAAAAAAAAGTCCCATATATCAGCTGTTAAAAAATGTCCCAGATATCCATTTTTCCATGTCTGCATTCTTTGACTACGAGGTGTCTTATCATCCACATGTACAATGATGTATCCTTAACACAGTTTTGTTGTTGTTGTTGTTGTTGTTGTTGTTTACCTTAAGCGCCACATCAGTCCATCCATCCACCTGCCTGTTCATCTGATACAGTTCGTCTTCACGTGATAGTAGTGTTTCTCCAGTAAAGTGTTCAGCTTCCTGGTTCAATGTCTCTTCCCAGGATTTTAAATCTTCAAACAAACTCTTGATAAACTGCTCGTCGGGTGGTCGCACGCTGCCATCATCGTAACTACATCACAGCCGCAGACAGAAGGCAGATTACAATCTTTATTCTCTAATGTCTATAATGAACTTAACGCTCTTGGTTTTATCATGTTTTCGTGAATTATAACAGAGTTTTATTTTTTGTTCGTTTCTTTGTTTCTTTGTTTCTTTGCTTGTTTTGTTTTTTGTTTCTCCTTTCAAGGTAGTGTTGTTTTTATATCTTATTATCTCTTTCTCTGAAAGTTTATCGTTTTAGATATCAACATACATGATTTACTTTGATTGTTAAAATACCTATTAGGGTCATATTATATAACTATTCGTTAACCTATACGTATGAAATCTTACGCGCTTACTTCACAACTTTTTGAAACTCCTTTTTCCATCTTTGAAGTTGAGTAATTAATCTTTTAAGCTGTAAAGAAACAACACAACTGGTGACTATTCTTTCCCTTACTTTCATATTTTACATGCAAGATGGCACCAAGCATAGGCTTCTTTACCAGTTTTCTAACATAGCGCAACTTTCTAATAACGTTCCTAACAGGGGGTGGGGGGGGGGGGGCACAAGGAGATCAACTTTGGATTAAGGATAGTTTTCTGTCTCCTAAGGTCAGATGACGTAATCTCATGATGACAAACTGACATGTTGCTCCTGGTGTCTATGAGAGATTGCTCGTATACGAAGTTATAATTAGCTCATAAAAACAGCTGACTCAGTAAGAATTATGTTTCAGACTTCGGTATTAGAAATTTTGTCATTATCTCTGCACCACTAACTATACACGCTAAATAAAGTAACAAACTAACCCTGTGAGTCATTTCCTCCTCTGAAGAAACAAGCCTTTTGTTAAACTTTTCAGAAAGTTCTCTCCACTTTTGTACATGGTTTGTTAAACTTTCGAGCTAGAAACAAAAAGACAAAAACAGGGGATTTACACATTGGTAACACGATCTTGAAAAGAAATAATCAGTCTTGGGCGAAGGAGACACTATCGTGTTATGGGAAGTTAAACACATAGCCTAGGAAGCTCTAACGAGGACATAATTCTAATTTCCAGAAGAGGAAAACAATCAACGATGGTTTCTTCATGGCCGAAAAAAGCCAGAATTCTCAGACCAAAACATTACTTGTAATCAGGCTCTACGGCGGAGCTAGACTACGAGTAGTCACTCTCTCACCTAGTCCGTCGCGCGTGACGCGAAAAAAGAACCACCAGAAAAAAAATGACCGCGCGAAATCCCGAGTGCAAGAAGCGCGCACTTCTCCCCCCCAGGCATTTGCGCGGCCATTTTTTTCTCTAGGTTCCCTTTTGCGTCACGTACGACGGACGGAGCGAGAGAGGGACTACTCGTGGTCTAAGGCGGAACTGAGGAGTTAGGGTATTTACGGCGCACCTCTACAAGGCCTCCGTCCAGTATTCAAGCTGTCGTTAATCAATACTCGGTTCAACGAACCTGTATGCTGTCCTTTTCACTGAGAAAAATAGCAAAATGTCGGCTTAATTTGGCCCACGCTTTCTCACAAAGATGTAATTTCTTGGCAGTGTTAAGCGAGTGTTTGTCTGTGACCTTCAGTGATAGGGTATATGCTGCACTGCTCCACAAGTCACGTTCTTCGGTCAGTTTACCTGTGTAGTAAAAAACGAGATTGAATACCATTGAAATAGGGTAACAAGCATGCATGTATTAAGATTACGCCATTAAAAAAGCGAGCACTCAGTAACTTTCGGATACATAAACACGGCTAAATAATTGTTAACTGTGTTTACACTGACGTTGGTAAGAAAAAACACTTCCGAGTCTTACGCTTCTTGTTCAGTAGCATGCAACTGAGATGTTTTTAAAAGGGACCGCTTACAGTCCACTGTGACTATTTTATTTACAGTTTTACGACATTCGATGGTAACCTATTGTACGACTTTACTCCATATGCCGTTAAGAGATGTTACTTTACCTAACACTTGNTCCAGCAAGATGATGACCTGTTTACAGTTCTGTGTATTGTTTAATTTTCAAATTTGTGGCACCTTCCCGCCAGTATTTGTAAATATTTTTTTTTAGGTCGAGGCTAACCCTGTGCAAATGTGTTGTCACTGCTTTTAATCAGCGGTCATGGTGAATTCGAAACTGGACTATTTGCTCAGTCAAAAAATACATTAATTAATTAATTCCCTCTCTATCCATTTGCAGTTTCAAACATTGTCAAAAAATCTACCTTTTAACTTGTCTGGGAATGCGGTCTAAAAGATCTGCATAGCGCTTTCTCAAATTTGCTAACAATTCTCCTCTCTCAGCACATTCAACAGTTACCTAAAAACCAAGGAGACATGTGCAGTCCTCATATACATGCTGGTAGAATTTAACAGTTTCTTTCAAGCTTAGATAAATATATTGACAGTTGACTACCAACATTCCTAGGTACTAATACATGCAATAGTATGATTGCATGCCTGCTCAGAGTCATTTCGTTCTTCTTTAATAGTCATAAGCTAGTAAACAAAGTAAGTACATGGCAACTGCATCCCCAAAATAGAAAGTTGGTAGTCCATGAACAGATTATAGCATGATACAAAGTAAATACTATATATTGTCACATATTTATATGTACATGTATGTTGTTGGTTGAGCAACTGGTGTAAACACTAACAAGTCCAGATAGTAAGTCTGTTCTACATGTTATTTAAAATCAAATGTACACAAGAGACATGTGCAAACTACATTTTGTTACTGAATTAATTCAAAATAACTTACTTGGCGAATTATCTCATTAAATGCTACATTGTAAATGTTTTGTTCCTTTTTAACCAACTCCAGGAGGTTGTGAATCTGAAACATACAGATTATATAACTTTTAAAAAGGTACAATGTAGCAACTCTATACTGGTTGTGTATTTCAGGCATTCACTGTGAATTACTAGAGGTACGATTACCACCACCACTGGGGGTTTCAATTGGTTTTTCAGCAGATGCCCAAAATTAGAGTACAGCATAGGTGGCTAATGGAATTTCAATTTTTAATAATGTTATTATTTTCAGTGAAAGAAAGCAAATTAAAAGAGATTTTGCTTGAAATAGACAGCAGATTTGATGACTGCCAACTCTTATAAAACCTCTGTTACCACTGCTCCTGCCACAATTAGTGGCACTGCCACTGCCCCTGCCAATGCCAATGTCACTGCCCCTCCCACTGCCACTGCCCCAGCCACTGCCACTGCCCTTCCCAGTGCCACTGCCATTGCCACTATCCCTGCTACTGCCATGGCCACTATCAATCATTCTTTTTCTTTATAAATGGAAATGAGCAGCTGAGTCAATGGAAACTAAAAATCAAGAGACAAATTTAAACCTTTAATAACTCACAAGTACATTGTCTGTGAACAACATACCTGGGTTGGACCTGACAGCTCTTTACCCTCATCATCAACACCAGCACGTGCTAGCATGGAATCCATGGCATGCTAAAAATAAAACGAAGGGAACAATTAAAGAAAGTTGGCCACTGGCCAAGTACAATCCAGATATAGCAACAATGAAGCATCAGCAAAATTGATCTTTGTTTAAAATCTTCCCCAGTCAGTGTTTCAGAACCTACAGTGTAATCTGTGAAATGACTCTAGTTCCTATTACAACAGAAGTAATTGTTAACAAGATATTAGAAAGCACAATCTCATTTTCAATACCTTTAACTTCAGCACTTCTTGCCTCCCAGTTGGTTTCCTTTAACAGGCCAAATGTCAAAAAGTGATATTTTTTTNTCCAGCCTCATTTTACATGTTCTTTCATCAATAAAACTTTACCATGTTGCCCTGGTCAATTTCTCCTTTACTTTTCTCCACAGGTTCCAGTTGTCTGTCTGGTGGTGACGCCTTGTTTTTGTCAGAAGACAGTATGGACAGGGTTTTTCCAGCAGAGTCTAGGGATGTCTTCTCAGGCATGGTGGCATCATACAAAAAAGAAATGTCCCTGTAAATAAAACATTTTTATTGTTTTTATTAAATTAACCTTCATTCACTAAAAGATGCATGATGAGTGTGATAGATCTTTGGGCATATGAAACGGAGCTGTAGCAATAAAGTGATGAATAATATCTGAAGCCTAGATCTACATTAACAAAATAATATACATGTATATACCGCATTACATGTATATTATTTTACATGTACAATACAACAATTAAGTAAATTTTAAAAACATTTTGAATAGAGGAATTAGCCCATTCCAAGGATATATTAAAACTATTTAATTTGTCTCTCTTTAACTAGACCTACCTTTTAATACCCTCAAAACTGATTTTAGCAACTGTGAAAACATTTTACCCATGACACGAATTTAAGGGGTTTGTGCAATTATGATGCAAAACTACATAAAACCTGCAGTTGTGCAGTCAATCAGAGGCATGCCTTCACATACATGTAGCTTGCTAGATCGAGTACAAAATCCTGATCATATTCATCTGTATGGAATCCATCAGCTCAAAGTGTCTTGCTAGACTGTTTAGTAACGAGCTGTTCAATGTACCTTAAAGGTGTCTCAAATGTTAACTCCACACATACACATATGGATCATGTGATTACACTTTCTTTGGCACATGCACATTACCTTCCTGCTCCACATACACAAGGGGGCTGCTGTGTAAGGTGTTTGAACTTTTCTCTCCCTTTGGGAAAATTCCAAACATTAGCTGGCCTTCTACGAGCAGGTGGAGTAATCTAAAAATATGAAAGAAATTAAACAGTGATTTTCCAAGGTGAAATGTGACAACTACAGCAAGAATTAAGGGCACTTCTGTAATGACAAACTGTCTCAGTCATATCAAAAAAACAGAGTAGAGGATTTAATTCAACTTATTAATTTGACCTTATAAATTTATTTGCAGTCTCTGTTATATCTATATAATACTTATACTCTGCTGGGAAAACATTGGCTGATCATAATACAGTT